TCCAATGTCAGCCTGAAAGTTGGTTCTCAGTGCCCACTAGAATGAAAGCTCCGCGTGCACTTGTTTGCCCTGTTTGTGGCCGAAGCTCTGGTGCCTTACAACCGTCTTGTAAGTCGCGTCTTGTTCAGGGACGTTCTACTTCCCAAAGTCACTGCTGTCTTTGGTTTGTGCATTAAAAACTGTGATGGGTAGTTTTTATTATGCTTTGGAGTCACTCTCAGAATATAGGCAAGAAAATGTACAGAGCTGAAGAGGGGTTAATAAAAAGCCAAGAGCACTGAGGAAACACTTCAAAGATATGAAATACACCTTTCAGTTAAAAGACATCTGTGGCAGGATGAGTGCCCTCCCCAAAGCAGTCCACATCCTAGTCCCTGGCACCTGAATATGTTAGATCACATGGGAAATTGTGCTTTTTCAGATATAATTAAGGTTAAAGACCTTAAAAATAGGGAGATTATCCTAGATTATCTAGATGAGTCCAATCTAATCACACGAACCCATAAAGGGGCAGAACTTTCTCTGGCTAGAAGCAGAGATGTGGCAGAGAAAAAGAAATTTAGAGCATGACGGGGTCTCAACCCACTGTGGTCGGAAAGGGGGCCACATGAAAATCATGAGAAGGAATGCTGGCAGCCTCTAGGACCAAAGACCTACCTCTAGCTGTCATCCAGCCTGGAAACAGCAACCTCAGTCCAACAACTGCAAGGAACCGACTTCAGCTAACAACCTGAATGAACTCAGAAGCAGAGGCATCCTCAGAGCCTCGAAAAAGGAATACAGCTCTGTTAACCCCTTGATTTTAGTCTTGTCCAACAATAAGGAATAGGCCCAGGTGAACCACACTGTATCCAGACTTCTGGCTGACAGGATTATAAACTAATAAATTCATGTTGTTTTTAAGCTGCTAGGTATGTGGTTATTTGTTACAGCAATTAAAAACAAAACTAAACAAAACACACACAATCAGCAAGGACCCTGACAAGAGAAGCAAATAAATCCCTCTGGCCAAAATTTGCTGGTCCACTAATATGGCTCCTTCTTGCAGTCCAAAACAGATTGGAGGTTACTGGAAGGCAGCAGAAAGAAGCCCCCACACAGATTTCTCCTGTCTGGGAAAGGTTGGTCCTACTTCAGGAACAACCCACAAGGAAGGCAAGGGGAAGTACACCTGCCCAGCCAACTGGAACAGCCAAATCCACCTTGCTGAGCAATGAGACAAAAGAAGTCACTGCTGGGGCACCTGGGTGTCTCAGTTGGTTAAGTGTCAGACTTCAGCTCAGGCCATGACCTCGCAGTTCAGGAGTTTGAGCCCCACGTTGGGCTCTGTGTGGACAGTGGAGAGCCTGGAGCTTGCTTCAAGTTCTGTGTCTCCCTCTCTGCCCCCTCCCCTACTCACACTCTCTCTCTCAAAAATAAATAAACACTTAACAAAAAAAATGAAGTCACTGCTTGATGGCTACAATCCCCTCCTAGAGGCTATCATCTCAACAGTACAAGTACTACAAATACAAGTCCCCTTCATAAATGCATGTATCCTGGAGATATATTTCATGTATCGACCTATCCTTGTACTCATCACAAGCCATCTTTGTGAGGATCTCAGTGGAGTCCAGCTCCCAGAACACACCTGACACATAATAAACTCAACATAGTTCAATAAATGAATAGGTTTTTAAATTAAAAGAATGCCTAATGGAAACCACTATTAATCCCAGAGAACTTTAAGGATGCAATAGAATTCTGACATCCAGAGTTCATTTTCATGCAAGGTATAAATAATTGAGGTATACTCATGAATAAGAATCTACAGAGTAAGAAGTCTTGACAATATCAAAGAAAAGAATAACAGTTTTCACTGAAATATTCTTCAAGGCTACTTTTGGTAGGACGGATACCTAACAAAGAAAAAAACTATCATGCCAGCAATTGCCTTCATCATGAAAAGTTCTATCGATGATTAACTTCTATTTATTGAACACCTAATGCATGCCAGACCCCTTGTCATGCTCTTCATATGCATGACCAATAATCACAACAAAGTGTAACCAGACATCTGTATATAAAAGAAGAGGAAACTGAGGCTTACTGACAATTTATCCAGGATCACACAACTGGTAAACCTGCTGAGGCCGCATCTGAACCCAGATGAAGCTGACCTCAAGCCCATGTCCCCGGCTGCTCTGCCACACTTCCCCACTCTGTTGTCAAAACCCTGCTGTCCAGAGGTCATCAGGAAACAGAGGAGGCCCAAGAGAAAGAATACTCTTGGCTGAAAAACAGGGAAACATCCACACCGCCACCACCAGCAACAAAAAACAAGCAAGAACAACGACAACAACAACAACAGAAAAAAGAGGAGGAATGTTTCAAAAAAAGGTCTTCCCTGAAAATTTGCTTTGGGTACAGAAACACAAGTTGACACCGCAGTTTCTTTCCCCACAACGATGGGCCTGGCACCTGCTTGCTGCTCCTGTTTTGTGTCTTGGCGTGATTAACTGCCCATGTGCAATGATGTTGCAGGTCACATTCATCCACCATCAAAATGGCTGATATGTCAACAAGTAGTAGGAGTAAAAGGTTGCTTAAAATAAATCAAAATATCAATTTCAGTGCTTCAATTAAGGCCCTGTTTAACTTGAGAAATGAGAGTCACCTTTCAAACTGTTTGGAAGTCGGGCGCCTTGGGTGGCTCAGTCGGTTAGGCATCTGACCTCATGGTCTGTGGATTCGAGCCCCGCGTCGGGCTCTGTGCTGACTGCCAGCTCAGAGCCTGGAGCCTGTTTCAGATTCTGTAGCTCCCTCTCTGATCCTCCCCTGCTCATGCTAGCTCGCTCTCTCTCTCTCTCTCTCTCTCAGAAATAAATAAAACATTTAAAAAACTATTTGGAAGTCATTTTATCCCAAAGGTAGCCTCCAAAACCACCTTTCCACACTATATATTCCGATTCAAGAACCTCAGCTTCTGACTTTACGGAGAGAGATATCCCAGCAACAGTAGACAGGCAGGAGCAGAACTGGAATGCTCCCTGGGCGTAAGAAATGTGCAAAAAGCATATGGCAGCCACCTTAATCAATACCCAATCACAAACCAAATGATGTAGAAGGCACAACCACAACACGAAGGACTGCAATGTAGCTGACAGTTTGATGGTGTGTGTCCATGTACCCAATCGTGCCAACCCTCCCAACCAGGGAGGGATTTTCGGTTGAAACATAAGCTAGTGATTGTCAGATCAAGAAGGCTGTGCTGTCATTCTACTTGGAGTCTGATTCAGACATTGTGTGAGTGGAGGAATTTTCTGGGTTGTGCACAAAGTAAGTGTTTAATGATTAAACAGGAATGTAACAATGAATGGGCACCAATATAAATTACTAGGAATTCTAAAAGTACCTATATTTCCAAAATTTGCATCATTCTAGCTGAAAGGGTGAACATTTCTGTCTTATGATGAAATAAAGCAAAACAGCCAAAACTGTACAAGGAATGGTCTACCATTTATAATCATCTTTCGCCCTGTATTTCTCACAATGCAACAAGTGCCAACAGGCTACATGTCTGTATAAATGAGCTTATGTAGCCACAGAAACCAGTTATCTGGGACTGCAAACATTTCCATTCAGAAATATAGATCTTATTTGAAATTATACTATAGAAATATTAACCAATAGAATACTAGACTATTGAACAAAGCAACTCAGGTTTGTGTGATTTTTTAACTGAAACAGAAAATACTACTACTAGAATAAAACAAAAACAGATCTTGAGCATTAGGCCCACCCCCTCATACCAACTGGTTTGCCATCAACCTGGCCACAAAAAAAAAAAACTTACCAATTTTTCCTACTACTTACTCAGGCAGAAGCTGCAGCATCACAGAGTCAAGGAGGATAAAAAAAAACTCATTTTTTTTTTTAAGTTATAAAAAAAAATTTGTTTATTTATTTTGAGAGAAAGAGAACAAGCAGGTGAGGGGCAAAGATATAGAAAATCCCAAGTAGGCTTGGCACCATCAGCACAGAGCCCCCACATGGGGCCTGAACTCACAAAATGTGAGATGGTGACCTGAGCTGAAATCAAGATTCAGGCGCTTAACTGACTAAGCCACCCAGGCACCTCAAAGAGGATTCTAGTACTCTCGGGAGAACGGATCTCCCTATAAAGATACCAAGCTTGCGCAAAGTCCCAGAGGATTCTGATTTCTTCTTATTATAATGAGGAACATCTCTTTTCAGGCACATCTTTCCAAGGCTCACTCTCTCATATTAAGAGATTCTACTGACAACTCAGAGTGCTATCTGGTGAGTAAGAAACTGGAACACTGGATGCTAAATGATGTTGTTAAGAGGCAGGTCATAAGAGCTCTCAAAAACCCAAAGAAATCCACTGGTTCTACCACTAAACACAACTCTCTGCTCAGGTTCATCTGTATTCTTTGATGAAGAATAAACATGTATACTCTCAGACTGCTTCTCTGAACTATTGATTCCTAGGCTGATCAGACTTCGTTGCAATTTCTTTTTTCTGTACATGTAATTTTGTCATTGGTTAATCTAATGATTATGGGTGCTTCCATCCAATTCCAAGGTTCTCCCACTGTGACAGCACACAGGGTCTCCTTGTTGAAATGCTTTTTAAGAATGGATGTCCATCTTCCCATCAAGATTTCTGAGACTTTTTTTTTAATCAAATGAACTCTAATAATCTCAAATTACATTATTAAAAAAAAACAACATAAAAAATAGGTTTTCTCTGATTGAAACAGGCACAAGGGACCTTGGGTCTTGACTCAGCCATACCCAATTCATTACTCCCCCTTTTATCCTTTAGGAAAAAGCCCAGAAGTTTGAAAGAACAGAATACGACTGAGCTAAATTATCTCTCAAACTCCCAGCCAGCCTTATATTTCCACAAAAATAAAGTTATATTGTCCAGGGAAAATGTTCACATTCCAAAAGCATTAGTGCTTGAAGCTTCTCCACACAGCAAGCATACTCACAAGGATTGGCCTCAGGATGTCCATGTTGGAACGGAGTACCTGCTCCGCTGCATCCAGTTTCTCCCTTGGCAAGCTGCAAAGTGTGGAAACTTCTTGGTCACCAAGTTGAATCACCTTTTCTAATTCTGATCCACTGCACAGATTGGTCAAATGTAACTGGTAGCCTTGCAACAATACCTGGAAGCATTTCATGCAAAAAGAGTCAAGGGAAACTGGATTAAGAAGACGGGGTGGTGGGCAAGTACAGCTTTGAAGAATAGACACCATTGCAACAGTCCACTGCATCAGATCTCTTTACCCAACTTTGGAATGTATCATGGCACAATCCGACAGAAAACTTAAAGCCTGAATGTTGTGTTTGACTCATCATCTCCCATACTCTTGTCCTTGTGAAGGGAAATCTTGAGTCCAACTCTTTTTTTCAAAAGTGGGACGCATGATTCAGTAAATAGGAATTAAGGGTCCAAACTCCTGAAACCACTTTAATAAAAGTGGTTTTTTTTTTTTAAATAAAATTTTTTAAAATAAATAAAATAAATTTAAAAAACCCACTCTCATTATTTTGGAACTTAAGAGATCTCAAACTGGGGTTGGACCAAATTATGAAGAAAAAAAAAAAGCATCCATATTATTTATTTATTTGTAGGTATGGCTATTTCACTGATCCAAAAAACTATGTTGAAGCAATTTCTGAATTTGGAACTCTTCATTTGATTTGCCCCAGGGCAGAGTACCAGAAAGCTGAGCCTTTCTGTCATCTCATTGAAGCCCAATTCCAAGTCACTCTTAGGTATTCATTACAGCAGAGCCCTGGAGAGCCTTTCCTCGCCATATTTTGTTTACTTAATTAGCTTTTCTGAGCCTCAATGAACTGCCCTTCTTCATACATGGTCCTTACTGTCCAATTAGACAGTAAATTCACTAAGAGGAGGGGCTTGGTTTTCTTGCTCACTTTGTGCCCTTGGTGCTGAAACATTATTGACAGTAAATATTTGTGGAATAGATGGATGATGCAGACTCTGTATTACTCCATTATTACCTCTCCTGTTAGTTTAAATTAGTGCAGCGTGACCTGCTTGAAGTGCAATCTAGAATGAGTGATGAGCCAAGAGCCTCTCCAGGCCTATGCAGTCTTCTAATGCTACAGGGCAGTTGGACTGACATGGTGTCCATAAGTTTTCACCTAATACCAGACACGCAAGTTTTCCTCCTTTCTCGAAGTAGCCATTGCTGTCAGCCTACCTTCAGTATCTGTGTTTGAGAGCACCGACCACACAGAGATGCTAATACCATGCAAGGACCACCTCCATGCGTAGGATGCTCCTTATTTTAAACTGACCTGATGTGACAGAGATGAAATTGGCAGGGGAAAATGGAAATTGTGCTAAATGCAACTGTTTTCACAAGACTGCTGCCTTTGGCCTATCTCTCAACCATGCAACTGGTAAACACAAGGCATATTTTCCTAGTTTCCTAAGGGCAAGCAGTAAGCACATTTTTCTAATTTAAAAAATTCTAAATCATGTAAAGTGAAGATCTTTTTTTTTTCCTCAGGCATAAACATTTCCAATGCTTCTGCTTATTGTAAAGATAAGCTAGTGTGTAGACATGAGACAGGCTAAAGAATCAGTGCCCCTTTCTGCCAGGGAATACACTGGAGAACCTTCTCTGAAAATCGAGAACCATGCACACAGGGTCTGTTATGGCACAGGAGCTATATGAGCTATATGATACCCAATTATGCCAAAGGAAGGGGTCTGAGAATCTAAGGTTAAAATTCTATATAAACTAACATTACTTTCTGGTTTTACAAATTAAGGGGAAAAATCACTTTCTCCTTATAGACTTTTTTGGTCCATCATTAAAGGAAGCATTAACTTTTTAAAATCTCCTGTCTTAAATTTTATAGACAGCTGCTCTGATCAATACTCCTCAACTCTGGACTGTGAAAAAAAAATATTTTTCATGTTTAATTCATCTTAACTTAAATTCATCCCCCACCCCTTTAGGGGGAAGTAATCAACAAATGCCAGTTGACAGGCAGGAAACCAGTTTTATCGCAACCAGCTGGCCCACACCACCAGGCTGCACATTCCAGTCTCTGGATGGTGGGACAATGCCAGCCTGGGCAGAGAAGTAAAAGCTGGTGAAGGTGAACTTGAGCTAACAACCTCCATTAAAAAGACAGGGATTCTCAAACAGTGTCAGTGCTGTCAGCTCCACAAGGAGGCCGCATCTTATAGCTTACCTTGTGAAGATTAACATCAGCCCCCAGCATTTTGTCCACAGTAGACCTTGGCAGAGAGAGGTTGTAAGTCAGGAATCCAGAGAAGGTTTCATTGTCCACTAGGAAATCCTGAAGCTTCAAGCCTGCCGAGAAATAGTATTTTATTTTCATTTAATAAGTTTAAAAAACAAAAAACAAAAAACAAGTAGCACAATGGAGCAGATAGAGAAAAATATCTTAATATTGATGGCCTCATTTTATTTTTTTAATTATTTCTTTCTTTCTTTTTTTTTTAGTGTTTGAGAAAGGGAGCATGCACATGCATGTGAGTGGATGGAGAGAGCGAGAATCCCAAGGAGGCTCCACACAGCACAGAACCTGATGAGGGGCTCAAACTCACAAACAGTGGGAGACCATGACCTGGGCTGAAATCAAGAGTTGGAAGCCTAACTGACTGAGCTTCCCAGGCACCCTCACCCCCATGGCCTTGTTTTAAACAAATTGATAACCACAGGCTTTTGGCTTAAGCATACAGTGAAATGGCACTGAAGGAGCTATGCTTTACAGAAGAGAGGAAAAGAATGTCTTCTGAAGATGTGTAGAACCACACTCAGCGTGTGGTCCTAGCCTCAAACGGCCCCACAAAGCTCCACAGGCTCACACAGCCTTTCCTTGCTTTTCAAGGAAAAAACCAAACCCTTTAAGTGATCTGGCCCAACCTGTCTTAGATTTGTGAAACTAACACCACTGCTAGTGTCTCCCCAGTGCCATCTCAGCTAAAAATCGGAGATATTTAAAGCCTTAGTCCCCCAAGCCCTGGGGGCTGATTTCCTCTTGTTGCAGGACAGTTGTTCCCAAGCTTGAGTGGGCATCAGAATCACCTGAGGTCTTGTTAAAACAGATTACCAGTCCCCGCACCCACCCCAGAGTTTCCAGCCCAGGATGAGGTGAGAGAATTCACATTTCCCTTGAGCTTCCAGGTGATGTGGTTCTGCTGGTCTGGGCCCCATACTTTGAGAGCCGCTGATGTGAAGTATTATGCATATCAAAGCACTTTCACAGATGTGGTCTCATTTTAATTCCAACTGTGGAACGTGTGATACAGAGCTCCAAAACCCAGTCTGCCAAGCTTTAAGAAAACACAGCATATATTTAAAAATCTATCCTACTACATGACTGGATTGGTGCAGGGTTTCATGAAGAATCCCTTTAAATAATAAACCCTCCAGGTACATTCAGGTAATTAAAGCAGAAAAAGCACTGGCCAGAAAAATCCTAAAGTTTTGTCCCTAGAGTTGGGAAGCTGTGCCTGGTGGTATCATTTGGCTATTTTGTATCATCTTTCTGACCCTCGGGCTTCTTCATCTCCAGAATGAGAGGGTTTGTGACCAGATGTTTGGTGGGGCCCTCCTGACTCCGAAATGCTACAGTTTCCCCTGCCCTGTTTCATTTGCCCACTTATTCTGCCCCACCCTCTTAATAACCCAACTTCTTTCAATAAAGAGAAAACCAGCTCATCACGACCATGTGACTAGCCAATGCTCATTCACAGACTGCAGCCCACAGGCCCAGGCACTAACAGACCTCTAGGGGGCAAACCTTGCAAACCCTATCTATCATTCAACTGAAGAGAAATAGAGGTGTGACCTGAAAATGGGGCTACAGTGTGAGGCTTAAAGAAGACAGGAGTTAATACTGGGAACTGAGGGGGGTCATGAGCTGAGATAAAGCAGGAGGAAGGCACAAAAGCCCAACAAGACTCTTATCATTGCTGCCTGATCCAGGTATGTTCTTAAGCAAACTTTAATAATTTAGAGTTCTAGAAAGGATAAACTAAGCATGATTCACATCTTCCCATCTCTAGAGAAATGATTGTCGGGTTACACCTGACAGGCTAACACCTACTTATTCCTCGGGACACATTCAAGAGGCTGTTTCTTGCCCAGCTAGTGTCCCTCCTCAGAACAGGTGCTCCTGCAGATGGCCACCAGCCTGGTGCTTTCATGGATGCACCTGCCCTGGTCCTCCCCATCACATATGACACTAATACTGTTACCGGAGGGCTCACTCTTACAGTTGTCAAACCTCAGAACACCTAAGGTTCACTTAGGGAGCACACTAAAATGCAATTTCTGAGGCCCAATTCCTAGAGATTCTGAAATAATGGGTCTACAGTGGGACCTAAGAATCTCCATTTTAATAAGCATTCCTTGTACTTCTAATGCAGGGAGTCTGGGGACCATACTTTACGGAATATTGCTTTATTTGCATATTATCTCCACTAGACTATGCCCCTGGTGTACAGAATATGTGTTGTTGCTTTTAAAGCAAGCTCTACACCCAATGTGGGGCTTGAACTCACAAGAGTCTTGTGCTCTACTGACTGAGCCAGCCATGTGCCCCTAGAATGTGTTTTATCTCTGTATCCCTGTGCCCAGATCAGAGCCTGGCAAAGAATTACTGGTCATTACAAAGAATGATGGCTAGACAAGAAATAATAGGAGGTGGATTAGGGCAGGGAAGATTCCAGAAGTATCTGAGTAGCATCACAGACTTCCTTTCAGTTGAGCAGGTCCAAGAAGGGCCCAGCAATATCAGGACAATTCCCAGGCTACATCCTAGGAGTAACCAGGACCCATATCTTAATATTCCCAGAGACACAAAGTTAACACCCAGATGTTTACCCCTATTTCAGGAGAAATACAGGAAAGCTAGTGGCTTTAATTGGAGCCTAGCATGAAAAGCCAGACACTGACCATTATGGAACAATTGAGAAAACACCACAATGGGGGTCAGAAAACCTGGGCTCTGTATCCATTTATTTGCCAGGATATCTCACCTAAGCTGTTTCTCCATTACCTTACTTATAAAACAAGGGTAAAAAAAAAAAAAAAAAAAAAAAAAAAAAAAAAAAAAAAAAGACATCTCTGAGCCCTGGATAAAGCAGAATATACATGAGTTGACCCTCACTGACCACATGGACCACAATTTCCTCCCTAGTGTGAAAAGCCAGAGTAGGACGTGGATACTGTGATAGGGAACTTCACAACAGCCTTCTCCCTCCAGAGCAGAGTTGCTACAGTGTGGGAGGCTGGCCCAGGCTGCACTTGCAATGGGTCTAGATCATGAGCAACACTCTTGAGACCAGCAAGTATGCTCAGTGTGTTTATAAGACTCTTCTGTTATGTCAACAGGGACTGAGAATGAGAACAGCTGGATGTGATCTATCAGTGAATCCCCTGGATGAGACGGAAGAACCAAGAGGCCAATTAAATAGTCAACAACCCTTGGCAGTGCATGTGCACAGGGTGGTGAGGTCGCTGGGTCGGGGAGCAGCAGGGAAGGCCAAAGATCCCTGGCTACAAAGAACTTGCATTCCAGTCACATGCATACCACACATGCGGACTCAGATTCACACACCACCACCAACAGCTACAGCCAGTGTGAACAAAGAAAGGCAATGTGGTATGGTGCACTGGTTCTCAACTTTGGCTCTGATTAGAAATGACTAGGTAGTGGGACGCCTGGGTGGCTTAGTCGGTTGGGCGTCTGACTTTCGCTTGGGTCGTGATCTTGCGGTTCATGGGTTCGAGCCCCGCGTTGGGCTCTGTGCTGACTGCCAGCTCAGAGCCTGGAGCCTATTTCAGAGTCTGTGTCTCCCTCTCTCTCTGACCCTCCCCTGTTAACGCTGTCTCTCTCTCTCTCCTAGAAATAATTTAAAAAAAAAAAAGAAAGAAAGAAATGAATAGGTAGTGTTACAAAAATCCCAATGCCTAGGCTACAGCCTCCCAACATCTAACCAGGACTTTTGGAGCTGACACCCAAGTATCAGAATTTTATACAACTCTCTGGGCAATGCTAGCTGAGTCTGAGAAACGTGGTAAGAGAGATCAAGGATGTGGGAAACCCTAATTTTGATGCTGTACTCGGCTTTTTATGGACTGTGCCTTTGAGAAATGCACTTTGTCTTTCTGAGACCAAATTTTCTTACCTAAGAGTTAAGGATAACAGTATTATCACCTTTCCAAGACATGAGGATTGGAGGTGTTCACAGGTAAAGCATGAAGTGTGAACAATAAATGGTAATAATTTTGTGATTATTGAAAAAGGTGTTATTTTTTTCACTTGAGTTTACCAGCGTACTGTAGTGAAGTTCAGTGAGAAGGTAAGGACATGGTCCTTGTCCTCAAAGAATTTTCAAGGCTGATAAGGGAGATGAAGAGACATGTCAATGAAGCAGAAGGAGGAATGATAAAGCTCAAGGAAGACAGTTTATACAAGTGTTTGACCAAGATGAGACTTGTCTGCAAGTGCTTGAGGCAGCAGGGAAGAGTCAGGTTGAAGCCAAATTCTGGAAAAGAACAAACAGAGGGCCAAAAATCTCTTCCGAGGTTGTGGCTATTGAAATCTCTCATCATGGCAGAGGCCAGGACACCCTGTAGCCATAGTGCTATGTAGTTAGTAGGTTCTCAATGAATGTTTTTCAATGAATAAATAAATCAACAAGCATATAAATATAGAGGAGATGCCTCAAAACCTAAGATTTGGGGAGTAGAATGGGAGAAAGGGGAGGAAGGCATGTATTGCGAGGCAGGAGTGAGGCGGCTTTGTACGTCTGGTCTCAGTTTTCTCCATTCTGTAGTTGGCAAGAAAATGAGTGGAGAAGCCAAGAATATGGAGAAAGTCAGATGTATGAAACAGTCCTTCTTCCCGTTGGCCTAACTAAATCCTACCTGCTTTTTTTATGATTTGGTCCATGAGTCATCTCCTCCAGGAAGCCTGCCCTGACTTTCCCAACCCTCAAGCTGGATTAGGTAGCTGTCCTCTGTCCTCTATCGGCCTCCTGTGTTTCCTTCAAGCAGCACACAGACCAATCTACAGATGTCTGGGCACGCATCTTTCTTGCCAGAAGAACAGAGCCAAATAGAGCCTCAAGAGCCAGGACTTTGCAGTTTCAAAGCATGGCAGTGCCCAGCACAGGGGAGGCACCTGAAGATCTGAATTCAAGTCCCAGCTTTGCTCTCTCCTAAGTGTGTGGCCATGAACTTCATTTTCCCCCTTTTCTTAATCTCTCTGGGCCTCAGTTTCCTTAGATAAAAAATGGAGCCAATAACATTCACAGGTTGTTATGAAAACCAAGACC